GGGCAGTGGCAACGAGCTGCAGCTCCCAGGCAGCCCTGCTCAATTGTTAGAGTGTTTGTCTAGCATGTATAAGGCCCTGGGTTCAATCCCCAGAACCACCAAAAAAAAAAAAAATGTAATGGCAGTGGTTCAGGAGGCTGAGGCAGGAGAATCGTGAATTCAAAACCAGTCTCAGCAATTTAGAAAGGCCCTTAGCAACTTAGTAAGACCCTGTCTCAAAGTAAAAAGGGCTCGGGATATGACTGAGTGGCTAAGCACCCCTGGGATCAATCCCTGGTACCAAAAAACAAACAAACAACAACAACCACAAAAAAACAGGGCCGACCTCTCCCACCTTTGGAGGTATAGAGAAAAGGAGAAACCACACCTGCAAATCCCATGTGATTGGTGCCTCTCAGACTGAGTCATAGGCTGATAGCCCAAGACCTGAGAGTGATCACACTTCTTGATAACTAGGCCCACCATTCCAAGGCTTTTAGGCTTACCGCAGGGAAAGTTCTCACCTGACTTGGTTACTGTCATATTCCAGCTGGTCAGCACAGTGCCTGGAACATGGAAACTAACTGCTGCATAAGTATTTGTGAGCAGAATCACAAGAGTCAAATCTAAATTCCTCCCAGGAATTGGTCTGAGATCATCTGAGAGTTACACCCTGCTTCCAAGGTCTTTCCTTCCTTCCCAGGGGAGAACAAGAATGTGTCTTGTTATTATAAAAGGGACATGTCAAATGCACCCTGGCCACTTATGTCCTCAAGCTGGTCACTTGAGCTAGTTTGTCAGAGTATTTAGGCTGATGTCTGAAACTAGGTCATGATCAGGGTTCCACTGCCAAAGGGCAGAGTGGCCCATGTGCTTCCTTCCATCCCCCCCCCCCCATGCCTTGGAAGTCTTCTGTGGAAAGCCAACTTATCTGGGTTTCTTGTTTATTCTGAAGTTCCTCAAACTAGTTCCTCAATTTCAGAACCAGTCACTAGTAACTACTGTGAACTTGAAATTTCCTCCCTTACAGGAGCCTGAGCCAGTCTTCATCTTCTCTTATTACAGGTAGACCCTGCCTGAAGCCAGTACGGCCTGTTAAAAACCAGATTTACAACCCCAAAAAGCAGGGGGTGGGGTTATATTTCAGAAAAATTGACTATATCCTAGGGTCCTGCTCCTTGTTCTGAATCTAATCTAAAAGGTCAAATAAGAGAGTTGCTTGTAATGATGGTCTCAAGGCTTGGCAATCATCAAATGCATTTTAAATGATGAAAGAAACTATGTTTGGCATGATTCTAGACTCAAGGACAGCAGATAGATAGATATTTGGAAACTGGTCATTGTTGAATGGTATATACTGCAGCCCCCACTGTATGCATGAGAATATTTAGTTACACAAAAAAAATTCCTTGCTGTTTTTTTGGGGGGAGGGGAGTGGGGCAGGGGTTGGAAGGGACTGGGGATAGAACCCAGGAGCACTTAACCACTGAGCCACATCTCCAGTCTCACTAGGTTTCTGAGGCTGTCATTGAACTTGCGATCTTCCTGCCTTAGCACCCTGACCCTCTGGAATTACAGGTATACACCACTGTGCCAGGCTCTGCTGCTTATTGTATAAAGTGAAGTACATGTGAGGTTGGTTTTTGTACTCACTACCATTTTCCCTCCTTGTTCTCCCACATTCCAATTGCAAATTGACCTCTGTGAAGCAATGATACTCCCTGGCACATGATTTCTTTTTGTTTTAGGCTGTCCCTGTGCATGGGATTTTATCATTAAATTGAAAATGCCATTGTAATGCTATTCTTTTAAAGTTTATCAAATGTCCTGTATCAGGGGCCTAGAGACAAAGTATCGACCATATTTAAGACAATGGTAGTTGATACTGAAGGCTTTGTTATAAAAGAATAATAATATAGACAAGAAGATTAGAAGCCAGGAACAGTAATACACACCTATAATCCCAAGCTGAGGCAGGAGGATCACAAATTCAAGACCAGCCTGGGCAAGACTCTTATCTCAAAATTTTAAAAGAACTGGGGATGTAGCTTAGTTGATAGAGATGTTTAATCATTCTAGAGTTAATCACTCTATAAGGAATAATGTCTGCCTAGCATATATGAGGCCCTGGGTTCAATCCTCCCAGTACTGGGGTTGGGTGGGATGGCCTGGAAGCAGCAGAATTATAACTTTATATAACTATTTGAACTTTGTCATAGAGTTGGTCCTTGGGATGGGCCCTGCGCTGGTCTAAAGAACACAGGCTTGCCTTAGAGTCTTTGCTCCCAATTTCTTTCTCCAGAACATTAAACTGGCTGTGTTCATGCTTCCTAATTAAGATGCTTCCTCCTGGGTCAGTCCCTGGGTTTCTCACCAACAAATCTTTGGCTTATGACAGCTTCTGCATTTAGGTCCCAATTTTAAAGTTTAGATCATTTGAAAGGGGATTCAGTGTCATGGCTAAGAGTACGGGTTTTGATGTAAAGTCCCCTGTGTAAATCTTGCCCTTGCTATTTCCCTGCAGTGTTGCCTTGGGCAAATTACTTCATCGACTGAGTCTGTTTCTTCCTCCATAAAGGGCATTCTCGGATTTGTGAGGATTGATACATAGCAAGCACTAATAGTTGTCACTAGTTGGGAGCTGTGGCGCACACCTGTAATCCTAGCAGCTAGTAATCCTAGCAGCTCCAGAGGCTGAGATAGGAGGATCGTAATTTCAAAGCCAGCCTCAGCAAGGCAAGGCACTAAGCAACTCAGTGAGACCCTGTCTCTAAAGAAATAAATACAAAATAGGGCTGGGGATGTGGCTCAGTGGCCCAGTGCCCAAGTTCAATCCCCAGTACCTCCCCCACAAAAAATAGTTGCCATTATTAATTTGTATTATTATTGACAACCAGCATGTTGGTAGTGGAGACAGGCCAGATGGGGTCTACTGAATGTTCTTCAGAGGGTTGGTTGCTGACTGCTGTGCCCTTCTGCTCTCAGGATTCTCCTCCTCCTCCTCCTCCAACAGTGTGTAATAGACTTTCTGCTACTAGGGCTGCTGGCTAGAAACTGGGAGTGGGGGTGGATTTCAGCTCTGCATAGGCAAGGACTTGCAAATAACTTGCACTTCAAACATGGAAAGGACTGCTCATCTTAACAGCTTCCATCTCACTGGAGGAACATTATGCTGGTGCCAGGCACTGTATTGTATAAATTAAACATTGTTCGTATAGTTAATCATTCTGTAAAATCCTGTTAGGTAGGTTTGAGAATGCCTATTTTACAGATGAGACAAAGTCTCAGATTAAATAAACTGTGCCCTGGTGGTCACACACCAGAATGTTGAGGAACTATGATTGAAAGTTGGCTTTTGCAACTCTAAGGCCACCCTGTTATATAGCCAGATAGCCGTCCCTCAGCATTGGTAAGAGATATGTTGGAACAGATTACCTCTAAAGGCCCTTCTGATCCTATGATCATTTTGGAAGTCCTTTATTTATTTATCCCTCTACCCAGTTTGCCCCCAACCCCAAATACCTTGAGGGCAAGGATCATCTTTCCAGCAATAACCAGTGTGTTTGGGAACCACTGTCTGATGCTGCCTACTTGCCCAATCCATAAAAAAAGGAGAAAACAGTCTGCTAACAAAAGACTCACCCAGAAATTCCAGCCCCCAGGATTTACCACTTACAGTTACTCATATAAATATACAAAAATGTGATAAGGGTGGGCCTTTTTGAACTGTAAGTGAAAAATATGGCTCAGTGGCAGAGCACTTGTCTAGCATGAACAAGGTTTTGTCTTTGATCCCCAATACCACAAAAAAAGAAAGAAAGAAAGAAAAAGAAAGTGAAAATTTAATTAGTAAAAAAGTCCATCCATAGAAAAATAGGTGGAGAAATGATGATATATCTGTAGCAGGAATCTCAGGAGCCATTTTTTTTTTAAGTGAAATATTAATTGGGAGACTGAGACTGGAGGATCATAAGTCTAAGACCAGCCCAGGCCTCAAAATAAAATAAAAAGGGGTTGGGGATGTAGTTCAGTGGAAGAGCACTTGTCTAGTTTGTACAAAGCCTTAGATTCCATCCCCATTACCACAAAAAATGAGACAGATCTTTATGTACTGAAATGCAAATTAAGTGAAGGTAGTAATTTATATAATATCAGGGATTACATTCCCTTCTTTATCTAAAATATAGTGCCATCCTATATATTTTTTTAACTTTTACTTTTTTATATATATCTTTATTTTATTTTTATGTGGTGCTGAGAATCGAACCCAGTGACTCACGCATGCTAGGCGAGCACATTACCACTTGAGCCATATCCCCAGCCCCTGTATGTTTATATATGTAGAGTAATGGAACTAGAAGGATTTACACAAAGCTTAAATATTTCTTATGTTTCAGGGAAGAGGGAATTCTTCAGGGATTTTTGTTAGGTTTAGTTTTTTATTGTTGTTTTGATTTATAGAGCACTTATGTATTGCTTAAATTTTAAAACGAACAAGTATTTTGTATTTAAAAAAAGTGAATATCGTATTTATTTATTTTTTATTTATTTATTTATTTATTTATTTATTTATTTATTTTGGTACTGGGGATTGAACTCAGGGGCACTCGGCCACTAAGCCACATCCCCAGCCCTATTTTGTACTTAATTTAGAGACAGGGTCTCACTGAGTTGATTAGCACCTCCCTGTTAATGAGACTGGCTTTGAACTCCTGATCCTCCTGTCTCAGCTTCCTGAGCCGCTAGAGTTACAGGCGTGAGCCACCGTGCCCAGAAAGATTTTATTTTATTTTATTTTTTAAGAAAAGGAGGGTTTGAGATCATATGTAAGCAAGGTAGGGGAGACTAGCCAAAAAACTTTCCCCCCGGGGCTGGGATTGTGGCTCAGCGGTAGAGCGCTCGCCTAGCACGGGCAGGACCCGGGTTTCATCCTCAGCACCACATAAAAATAAAGGCATTGTGTTGTGTCCATCTACAACTAAAAAATAAATATTAAGAAAAAAAAAAAAAAGCTTGCCCCGGGGATAAGCCTAGGCCAGCCCTCCAATCCCAGCCCTTCATGCCAGCAGCAGAGGAAGGACCAGTGGTTTTCTCTGTGGTCCAGTTCTTCTATATTTGCCACTCTTTGGGGCCATTCATCCCAAGAGCATCCCTGACATTCAGCATGAGCAAGGCCTGTAACCACTGCATACGTTCATCACTGGATGATGACAGATAACAGCAAGGCAGTGGCCATCAATTTGAGGGCAGCTGATGGAGCTGTCTCCATGCACCTTCCTTCTTGAGTCACAACTGATAAAACTCACAGCCCCCAGGGGAACAAGAAAGAGAGTGAAATGAAAACCAAAACCATCTCCAGCCTGTTGTTTAGTAACCCAGCTGCCAGAGCTCAGTGACCACCTCAAAGGTAAGGTTTCATGTGGCGCCTGCGCGTGCATGGGGGGGAGGGCGGCTCACCCCGAATTTATCAAGCCCCCTCACAAAAATGACCACGTCTCCTAAGTCCTTATCCCATACGAGGAGATCCATTTTTAGTTGTAGCTTGTTTTCATTATAAAAGTAATACAGAGAACATCTGTGGAGGGATATACAAGAAACTAAGGGGGATCCCCTCAGAGGAATGCGGGAAGGGTGGGAGGGACTTATGCTTCATGTTATATTTTTTCTGTATTTTTTTAACCACTTGAAAACATCTACTAAAAAAGTGAAAACTGAGAAGACTAACACATACTTACTGGAAAAATTTAAAAACTATAAAAAATATTAAAACATCCATAAACCTACCACCAAAAGAGAACCATTGCTCTATGTCTGGGCTGGGTATCTTTTTTTATGAATGTTAATATACTATATAGACTTGGGGGTCATATTTTAGATATAATTTTGTGTCCTTTTTCTGTTAACATTGTATCCCTTAGGCATTTCTTCATGTTAATAATTATTTATAAACATTTTAATGGATAGTCAGTGATTTCTTTAATAATTACCTTTTGTTTCAGTTTTTTACTATTATAAAAATACTCTGTAAACTCTTTGATTATGCATCTTTCTCTGTATTTCTATTTGTTCCATACCTAGATGCAATTCTGACTTGTACACACACAAAAAGTAGCTGTCATCTCTTGGTATAATCCCTGAAATCTTTCAGCTGCATTATTTTGAAGAGTGAAAGGGGGTGAGTGTGTGATTAAGGGCCAGGGTGAGGGTGAGGAGAGAGGTGCTATTAGCAGTCAAAAAAGGGGGCCAAGCTGTTGGGAGGGGCTTCCTGGAGGTGGAAGGCCTGAGCTTGCCTGTAGGAAGTAGGAAGTGGGGGGGGGCATGAGACCCACAGAGTTGAGTAGTTAGGGGATTGGGGAGAGGTTAGACTAACCAGAGTCAAAGTTTCCCATGTTTCGGAAACAGTGGTCAGATAGATTGTAGACCACAGACTTGGGACTGGTCCCACAATCAGTGCCAACAGATGTCTTTGAGCTTGAAGTTGTCTGAAGGACATGTTTTGGGATGAGCTCAGGAGGGTGTGGATGGGCGGAGATCAGGGAGAAGCTGGAAGTGGGTGAGACCTGTGCTGGTAGAACAGATGTGAAGTGATTGCTTTGGGCATCTGAGGGGGCTTTGTATACAGAAGCAGTGTTTCTGTACGCTTGGGCCTGCTGATCCCAGACATGCGGTGAGAATTGGAAGACAGTCATAAATTGTATTTACCCTGCAGTTTGGCCTGTGGAATTGGCAGTAAGACCATTTTTTTTGTGGGCATGTCAGGTTTTGGCTTTGTTTTTATTTTTTATTTTTTTCATAATTGATCGGGAAGACTTTAATGATTGATGAACTGTCATATTTCATATTCTCTGTAATGGGAAATGCATATGCAGAAATTGCTCTCCTGAGAAGTAGACTTCAACCTGGCCTAGGAGCAGGTTCCAGATGCTCCTCCAGCTGAGTTTCACTGAGAGTGCCCAACCCCGGGGATGCCCCTGCCTCCTTTCTAGTGATCACTTGCCCACTCTGTCTCCACCTGAGAGAAAAAAATCAAGCAGGCCTTCCAGAGTGCTGTAGCTTATAATGGCATTGTGCCAGCTTGGCATGAGGGTTCTGCATCACAGGCCACATTTTCTTGTGATGCCCAGCATCCCCCATCTCCCTGTGAGGTCCCCCATCTGCAGCTCTGCCCCCAAGAGTAGAGAGTAGTGCAGAATTTTAGCCCCCTCATTTTTCTGAGAATAAAGCGCTGACCATATATGAGGACTAAGTGCACTTGCATGGCCTGGTACCTCATCTTCACCTGCAGTGTCATCTCCTGTGACTGTGTGGCTTAAGTTTACTCACCCACAGCTTCAAGGCATTTGTGATCCATACTCACACTCACTCTGGGCCTTAGCTTGCTGTGCCTTCTACCTGGAACACCCTCTCTTTTTTCTTGGGCAATTCTTGACTTTCCCAGTCAAGGCTGGGTGTCCTCCTTGTGCCTGCTGCATGTCTCTGTTCCCATGCTCCTATATGCTATATACCTCCCCAGTGTCCTCCAGCACCCAGCACACCCAGGGCTTGCCCCAGGCCGGTTGTGCTCTAGGACCCTAGAGTGCTCTGAAGTTGAACAGGACACGCTGATTGATGACAAGACCTTTCCACCAAAAACCTCACCCACCCTGCCTCCAGCCATGGACTCTGAGGCTCTTTGTTGGGTATCTACTAGTGATTGTTAGGTCTTTGGGTCATAAGTATTCTGTCCAGTGTGAATATTACATGTTTTTTGGTTAGTTTGGCCTAGCATCTCTCCTCCCATCCCTCTATTTTCAAACTCTTCTCTATAATTTTGTGTTGATTCTTTTAGTCAGCATCTAACTATACCCTTTAAAATTCTGTTTTTGGGTTTCTTTGGCTTGGGGCTTGGTTTTTTTGTTTTTGTTTTTTGTTTTTGTACCGGTGAGGCTGGCTTTGAACTTGAAATCCTCCTGCCCCAGCCTCCCAAGCCACTGGGATTACAGGCATGCACCATCACTCCCACCTAATACGTAAACATTTTCATATATAAATTTTCCAAAAAGCCAAGGATCTTATTACCTTTTATCCACTGAACAACCCACTCTACCCTTTTTCCTTATTCTTGTCTAGATTTTAATGTTTAACTAATTTTTTATCCTCAGTTGTTAATTAAATTGGCCAACATGAATTGCATCAGTTCTCGTGCCTACCATTGTTTCTGGCATCAAATTTCTTTTCTCTGGTTTACTTTTATTTTTTTCCAAAGAACATCCTTAAATGTTCTTTCAGTAAAGGCAGCCCCATGTTACTGGGAATTCTTGGGTTTTTTACATGTATATTGTGTGTGGATTTTAATAAAATAAAGTTAAAAATCATAACACCTCAGGAACATACTGATGCAATTCAACTAGAAGTCTGACCTGTTCATTGCTGATTCAACCTTTACTGATGAGACCGTTCTTTCTTAGTTCTTGTGTTTTCTGTCTACAAGGGCTGAGAAATTACTACCAACAGTGGATGGGAAGATCCTATGGGTAATAATATTCACATAGCTAATAATACTGCTCAGTTCTTAGATGTTCCAGATACCATAGTCAACAAGCTTTTATTCTAGAGAAGAACTTGCCATCCTTGGTTCGTGGGGAATGGGCCAAGAGTGTCCTGGTTGAAACGTTAACTCCCTACTAGGTGCTTTAATTGTGTAAATTGAGCCTTCATTTGTTCTGGCATGTAACTTACCTCTCTAAGCCTTAGGGTTTTTTCATCTATAAAATGGGAACAATAACACCAACCTTGCAGAGTTGCTGTGAGGTGCATCAGTAATGCAGATAAAGCACCCAGCACAGCGCACAGCACATGGAAGTGTTTGAGAGTTGTGGTGGTTATTGCCTTCCTGGCATTTAGGAGATACTTCGCGATCACTTGCTGAGTGAACGCAGGAGGCTACCATAAAGGCTTCACCAAGGAGATAGGTCTGAAAAAATATCTGAGATTTGCGCATACATATAGGAAGAGGCAAGAAGGTATTCTCTGTGAGAGGAATGGGGACAAGGAAAGGAATTAGGGACTTAACTGCCATGGCTGCCCAGCTATTCAAAGAATCAGTTCGGCTGGAAAGAGGCCAGGCAGGGGCTCAGGGAAGGCAGGCAGGACAGAAAAGGGGGCCAGGGCTGGGCCTGTGTGGAGACTTCGGGTCCTTCTAGTCAAACTGGCTCACTTGACCCTGGCACTGGCCCTTGTTCCCCCTTCCTGCACAGCCCCTCGTTTTTGATGGCAGGAGCTTGCCCAGCGTGGCCTGATGGCCAGGCAAGCTGAAGACTGAAAAGAGGAAGCATCAGGATGACACTGGTTTTCAACCAATATCTTATTGAGGAAGTTGAGTCATTCCACTTCTGCTATTACCCTCTCTGGGCATTCAAAGAAGGGCAGGGTTTTATTTCCAGATGAAATAGGCGTGAGAAGGATTTGCTCTGGACCCTCCGTGGGCATTTTGATATGGCCCTGTAGGGCAGATATTTGCATTTCTTTTTCATATATGGAGAACCAAGGATCCAAGTATGGGTGCCATAGCCATAAGTCACCTGCAGATACCTTGGTTACAGGCTGCCAAAACAGAGGAGTCACAGTAGCCAGGTGATAGCACTTAGCAGCCCGGTAAAGGGGAAGGGAATGAACATTTATTTAGCATTGTCTATTGGCTGGGCCAATTGGTTGGCATTTCATGTATTGTAATCTCTCTGAACCCTTGAAACAACTCTGAAGAGGCTGAGAGAAGTCGGGGGTGCTGCTCAAGGTTAATGCGCAGGCTCAGGAGGAAGCAGCTAGGCCCCACCTCTTTATTCCATAGCTGCAGAACTTTCCTGCCACACCACTCTAGGCCATACCTTCACATCTAAAAGTGAGATTGGTAATGGTAGGTGCTTAGTAAATATTGACCATTGTTGTTCTGGATTGGAGTCATCCAGGCCACAAATTATTCTGACAAATCTGTTATGTTCTCAGAACTAGAAGGATCTCAGAAGATTTCCAAGGCCAATGATTCTCAAACTCTTTTCTTCAAGACCTGGATTCTTCAGGGGTCCTTGGTGGTTGGAGGAAGTGGAGCAAGTAGAAGTCTTGCCCACCTCCCTGAACCAGAGCCACTATTTCTAACATAAGACACATGCTAGTTGCTTGCTTTATATATAGATTGAGGTGGGATTTCATTCCACAAAAATGGCCATACTGCACTTTTTTTAAAAAAAAGTTGCCAAGGCTAGATAACCCCATAACTTCTGGTTCCCAGTTTGGCATTTTCATTGTACTGTGCACTTACTAAAAGAGGGAACTGAAATATGATTCATTTTAGAAAGGTTATCTTCTATAAAGAGCAACAGTTAGGACATTATTTTTGTATCTTCTAGTGAATCAAAAACTCATTTAGCCTAA